ACTCAAGATAAGGATTAGAGGGCTCACGACACACGACACGTAATCGACTCATTTAAAGTAGACTTCTGATAAATATTGGTGTAATGGGTGAGAAACCCTGAAACGTTTCCGCCTGCCATGACCCAAGGGAACGGTCCTGGACCAGGAGAAAGGACACCTCCGCAAAGGGCTAAGGGTGCAGGAGCTCCAGGGTGGATCACCTGTGCAGAAAAGTGGATGGGATGTGGGCAGGTAGTGTGGAATGTAGGACATCCACCGGTCCTTATCAAAAGTACGCTCGAAATGAGTCGTTCACTTATTATCTTATCCGTAGTGTTCGATAGCCCAAAGAACTGCTCTCTAGTACTACGGATAAGATAGCAATGGAGTGCCCCCCCCCGAACTGGAGTTTCACCGGGCAGCATCGCATATGCGCTAATCAGCGGACGGAGAAGGGGTCCCATTTCGCAGGTTCTAAGCCCATTTTCATGTTTTTCTCATTCGTCATCACTGACTACCTCTTCCTGGTTTTTAATGGACTGCCTTTCCATCGTATGCTTCAGCTCTAAACGTCGTCGGTGAGCTACATCCCACAATATGCTAGAGGTGTGTAAGAATATCCCATAACGCCCTTCCGCCCATGAACCCGCACCATCTTCCAGCAGTAGCGATAATTTCCTTCCTGTCCACAATCAATTGGAAATCGTTGATGCTATACTGATCACAATGCTGTGAGCCTGATCTACTGTTCCTTGATTTATCATTGAGTACAGAAACAAAGAAAAGCTTCTTCCGCATTAATTTGTTGGATCAGTTACCATTTCAAGGTTGCATGCTTTTTGGCGAAGAAAAATATTAGATGCTACAGTTTTCTCGAGAGACTCGTCTATCATTCCGCTTAGTAGGACGCTTTTCACTGCTTATTCAGGGATGTTTGCAAGCTGGATCTTTTGTGGTGGTGTTACTGTTTTCAACGTCTTCTCCAGAATGGCCACAACAAAATGGGAAATATTTGTCACTACTACACTTGTGTTTATATTGATGCATGCTGTGGATGGGTACGTATGAATTTGATTATTTTCTCCAGTACATATAAGTCAACTTTAGATTGTTTAGGCTAATTTTGATTGTTTTCCAAGAACGTTTTCGTGGAATGCTGTGCCAACCATCACTTCTATGGCAAAAGAAGAGCGTAATTGTCCTTGCTCTCGCTTCCACTTCAAGGTACTGCTTCGGAAAATGTGTTTGCATGCTCGACATCTTTTGAATTTTGAGTTGAAGATCTGCTCTACTCCTTGACTACTTTCTACTTGAAGCCTGGAAATCGTACTGAAGTGCAACACTGGTTCATGATCAAATCAGGGCCCTCACCTTAGCGCCTTTGTTTTTGTGACGTAACACCCTGTGGTCTAGCCTGGATCTAGTTATTTGGTGAAAGTGGGGCTTGGGGGGGGCACACTACTCTCCATTACTAAAAATGGAACAAGAGCACTCACGACCCGTAATCGACCTACTTGATATCTACGGTTGAAAAGTGCCGGTACAGTGTGGAAGTACACCTGAAGTTTTTCCCATTTCACCCTGCAATGGTTTCCTCTCCTAGGATGGATGACCACTGCAGAAGATTAGATAGGATGGTGGCAGGATGTGTTGGATGTAAAATGCTAACCGGTTCTTACCAAGGGATCATTTCAAGGGACATTTCAATAGGTTGCGATGAGTCTCATACGTTATATTGGGGAGTCCAAAGGAATGCTCTTTAATACCCCGATGATAAAAAAAATTTTTTTTTGAAAAACTGGGGGGCCTATAGCGTTCTCACGCCCTTCCACCGACACAATATGTCACATTTCTACCGCGTCCCCAATCTGCAACTAGCCGAACAAAAGGTCATGTCAGAAGCAAACGGATGGAATAAGGGTCCTAGAGAATTTATTAGTTAAATTCACAATAATTTACAGCAAGACTTATGGCGATATTCAGGATTGTGCCCAAAGTAGAAGTGCGTTAATGATGATCTCTCTCACCCATGATCACTCAGCAATGTGAACAAAATCCCTGGTGACGATTATCGCCTGATGCATAAGTGACATAATCCGTAGATTTCATGCAGTCAATTGCTTCTCGTCAATTTACTGGCTCCTCTGGCGATTCCTCACAAGTCTGGTCTGCTATACCTTCTCCACTCTGTTTATTATATTCTGTTTCGTGCCATTCTAACCTATTGTAGTGTTTATAGTAGACACCAACTGTTCTTGAATAGTCAATTACTAATACGGAATAAGACCATCTCTGGACCTTTCTCTTCTGATTTATTCGGCCGATGCCTCTTACAGATGACTCCGTCTGCTGGATAAAAATGGTCTCGCTACAACTATACAAACAGAGAACAATTTACTGTAGAAACAATCTGCAAAATATATGATAGTCTTACTATGCCATGCGTTGAACAAAGACACTGAATGCGAAGCTTGCAGATATCAAGCGACTCTAAGAGAGTGCGTACAAATCGTGCACACAAATTCGCAAAGTTTGCTAATCCTCGTGAATACGGAGGATATCACAACCGTTTCAACTCAAACACAGTATATTTCCAAGATAAGGAGTGTATATCCCTTTGGTGTAACTTTGTTGAACTGCACACGAGGTTGATATTGACAATTTATTGGCTAACGTTTCGGCGAGTTCGCCTTCTTCGGAGCCTTTACCAGATCCACTGGATCAGCCAACGACAAGCACAGTATAGTAAGACTTCGGGTGGACCGTATTTAAAGGCAAACCTTGAGATTAGCCCGACTAGTAGGAAGGATACCGCGAGGGAAATTGTAAGACCCGTACCTACCTAGATCACTTCCAACTTGGTCGCGAAAATCGCGCGGTTAGGGCGCTAATCCTTACGGGCCTCCAACCATCGAACGCTTCCCACCCACCGCGAGATGTGGTGAGATCAGCGTGCATGTAGAGATCAGCGTGCTCTCTCAAACGACGTTCTCTCTCGCGTGTTTTGTCCTCTTTGATCGCCCTGTCTCGCCATCGTACCACATCCGACCTTATTGAAGGTTAAGGCCTTAATTTCAGCGTTCCCAAAGAGTTCTCTTGCTTTCCTCTCCACTTTCAGGTCGTTCCGCAGCTAAGCTATCACTGCGAAGCGCTCTTAGCACCAGTTCAATTCCGGAGTTTGCCTTTGAATCTTACTATACTGTACTTGTCGTTGGCTCATCCAGTAGATCTGGTAAAGCCTCTAAAGAAGGCGAACTCGCCGAAACGTTAGCCAATAAATTGTCAATATCAACCTCGTGTGCAGTTCAACAAAGTTACACCATCCAATCACTAACATGCCTAGGTTCATTGAGAGTCGAGCATGTCGCACAGTGTTTCATTTTTGCGGCTAGATGAAATAAGGACCAGTGAAAGTAAAGACCAGTGCACTATTAAAGCAAATTCTCAAGCAAACATCGGTCCTGCTATCACAATGCGATTTGATGATCAAAGTTGGGATTGAAGCCTTTTCAGTAAAAGCAGGGAATGGGTGAGCTGCAGGGACAAAGACAAATAATCAAAATTCGTACGTGAAGTCGTTTTTTTCTTCTTATTCGAATATAGGGTAGTGTGTGAATAGGTAGAACCATGCTAATTTCAGTTTTCGCGTGCGCGTTTCGGCCGATTCTTCTGCGCAGAACGAATACCATTATTATAAAGATAACACATGAATTGATTTTCTTACTAAAAGTCTGACCACAAAAGACAAGTTGGTGCGCTAACAAACGTGGTAAACTCGTCCGAATTTGGAATAAATAGAAGGACAAGGTAGCGGTCCTCGGATTTTTGGCCATTTCGCTGTTTATGGGCAGGTGTTCGTTTGTTCGTAATAAAAACTAATAAAGCGTGAGCTGATACTCCGCATAATTGATGGAACCCCGGCAAGTTCTTCCTCGTGGGTACTGCGCAATGTTGAAGCATTTCTCAGCACGGTGTCGGGCTGGAGGGATAAGTTT